GGCTTATCTTATTGTATGCAGCAGCTTGATGCTTCATTGTAATTAGCGTTTCTTTAATTTCTCTTTTTTTCCAGTTTGTATCACGTGCCATGATAATGGGTTGATCAAATCTGACGACGTGCCTTTTGTTGTCGAGCTATGATCCGCAGCCGCCGATTTTCCTCTTTCTTTTAATCCATTTCGATGCTGTTCCATCCTGTCCATCACTGCCAACTTTGTTCGTCCAACATATACCTGTGTACAATGATCACATTTAATTTTGTACACTACTCCACCGGGTCGTAGGAAATGAGACATAAATGAGACATGTNGGAATTAGCTAAATACATTGATTCAAAATTCTATGAATTGTACGGTCTCAAAAAAACTGGCTCGGGTTTGGTTCGTTCTGTTGAAAGTGTCCGTCTTGATATAAGAAAGTGGGGTATTCATTACTCGGCAAACGGTCTGAGGCCGTACTTCCTCGGCCATGAACGTCCAGATGTCCAGGAACGTCCAGGTCGCAGGAAATGAGATATAAATGAGACATGTATGGCTCATTTATGATATGAAGTGAAAATGATCATATTATAATCCTAAAATGATTTAAATATAAGCTTAAAATGATATCATATTTGAGTCATTTTAAGACCATTTCATAAAATCATATACACACAAGTTACAATGAAAACTGAATCAATTGTGCCTGAGAAAATTAATAATTTTCATTCTAGTGCAGTTTGAGCCCTTATATTACAATCAAAAACATCGAAGCCAAAGATAATAGTGCAAAATATGTTCAACTTACTTAACTTATTCTATGCTTCATCCAAAATCTACGGGTAGATCTTGGATTTTCTACATTTGATTTATTAATGGGTAAAAATTTCAGAAAAACTCATATGATAACAGCAGCTATTTTTAGTAAAACTAGACAATAGGTACCTATTGTCTAGGTAAAAAGTTTAAAAACGATATCTCTGATCGTTTTTTAATTACTAATTAGTTCTGGTTAACACTGATTAGTGGCACTCCAGTGCATAAAGTAAATTTTCCTAATGTCAGAACAAATGGAAGTAAATCATGTGCTGTATTATTCGACAGAACTTTTCGAGCTCTATCGATTGTCCGAGCCACTTTTTTTAATTTTTGCCTTTTTTGTCTGAAAAATCCGTTTTAAATCAGTTTGGTGTTAAAAAACTGACCAATTCTCAATTTTCTCAACCAGAACTCAACTTCTATATAATAAAAATACCATATTCGGAGTCAGGATCGAAAATTGAGTCGACTGACGCGTATCTCAAAATTTTTACTACATTTTTATTTTTTACGAATTTTCACGTTGAAAAATTATAGAGATTTTCACCATGTAGTAAAAATTTTGAGATACTCGTCAGTCGACTCAATTTTCGATCCTGACTCCGAATATGGTATTTTTATTATATAGAAGTTGAGTTCTGGTTGAGAAAATTGAGAATTGGTCAGTTTTTTAACACCAAAACTGATTTAAAACGGATTTTTCAGACAAAAAAGGCAAAAATTAAAAAAAGTGGCTCGGACAATCGATAGAGCTCGAAAAGTTCTATCGAGTAATACACCACATGATTTGCTTCCATTTGCTCGGACATTAGGAAAATTTACTTTATCCACTGGAGTGCCACTAATCAGTGCTAACCAGAACTAATTAGTAATTAAAAAACGATCAGAGATATCGTTTTTAAACTTTTTTTGTATGGAAATTATATCTACAAACAATTCTCTACAAAACTACATTACAACCAATTTAATATAACGTTTATATCGAAAACTAGAAAGGTTTTAAAGGATGCCGCTCAAACCAAAAATTTCAATTAATTTTGAACTTAATTAATTAATAACTCTGTCAATATTTGATCAACGAGTTTTTTATTACATAGGCATACCACCGAAGGTATTCTCTACAAACTGGCCCAATTTCAGGGCATGTTTGGGGGGAGGACACCCCCCTCCTTAAAGGATATACTGTATGTATCCCTTTTGCAAGTATAATTATATTGGCATCGGTTACTTCATATGCTACAATCTATTTAATGCTAAAAGTATTTAGTCAAAAAAACAGTAGTTAGTTAAATAAAAATACGGTGTAGTGCAACATTACGCGATTTTAAATCGGCAATTTCTTGTTTAGTTCTAAAATATTCTCCAACCGTCTTTTGCCAGTTTGTTAAGAAAGTTAGGTCAATGTTTTCAAAATAGTTCCGGTTTTCTGTTCATAGAGAAAAATATGTGACTGTGTGGCAAAATAGTGTACCGGTTTAAGTTAACTCCTAACTCATACTAACTTTGTATTAATTAAATAGATTAAATAGATCTATCGCGTTTGTTATAGCACAGTTTACTTCAGAAGAGTAGAAAATTCAAGTAATTGACCAATAACGTATAGAAGTAGAAACTTGTTGTTCAGCAGCATCGTCACATAAGAATCCTGCTAAGCTCCCAACAACACCAAAACGCATCAACGACAAAACTTAGAAAACTTTGTTATTGTTTGGCTTGATGAAAAAAGTATAGAGAAAACGGGTAATAATTTACAAAACAAAATTCAACTACGTCATGTTGTTAATTGTCTTGATAAATTCGATAATTGAGAAGAGTGTATGAAAAACATATCGAACATTAAAGAAGAGAAAATATTTTGAATTATATCAGGTTCATTAGGTAAACGTATCGTTCGTTCTGCTGGTTCATGACCTTTCACGTATTGAGTCGATCTATGTCTTTTGCTCATATAGACAGAAAAATGACCAATGAGCTTTTTAAATTTTAAAAAAATACGCGGAGTTTCGATAACATGAATCCAGTTTGTGATCGATTAAAGAAAGATTTCCCGATATGTTCAAATAATTTGGTTTCAACGAATATTCCCAAATCAACGGAAGTAATATTGAATGACGAAGAAATGAATAAACAAAATGCATCATTTATGTGTTCGCAATTGTTAAAGCAAATTTTGCTTGATATTCCACAGACAGATGCTGCTCGACGAGACATGTTAGATGAATGGCGTCTTCAGTATGTAGATAACAATGAAGAACTAGCAAATATCGAAGAATTTGACAAAAACTATCGTGTGACACAGAACGATGAATTTAGTTTTATAGTTTACTGCAAAGCTAAGTTCACGTGTTCGAATCTGTATTCGTACAAAATTGCTTTTGTGTTTCGATAGTTACTACAATGGAATATTTTTCCGCTTATATTCCGAAAGAATAAAGCTTATATCAACTATCGTTCGAGCAGAACCATTTGGTGGTATGCATTCGATTGTTTTTTATATAGAATTCTCAATAAAGCACTTTGAACACAAGAAATCGAATTTCTAAACTACGCTTCTTTTATCAAAGATCTTCATAATCAATTACAAGAAATACAGTCACAAGCTTGGTCAGATATCTAGCGAATATTGACGGTCTATCGTGAACAAGTTATAGCCTTTGGCGACTTTGAACAACTAAGAAACAATCAGGGAGGATTTTTATCTTTCAACAACTTTTTGTCAACAACTAAGAAAGAAAACGTAGCACTCGAATTCACCAAACAAGCTTTAGATCGTCCAAATATCGAATTAGTTGTTTTCGAAATGGAAACTGATATGAAAATGTGTATAAGTCCATTTGATGATATTCAGAAGTTAAGCTATTATCAAACAGAAAGTGAAATTCTGCTGGTCAGACCTAGAAAATCAGAAAAGCGTCCAGTAAAGCGAAAAAAACTTTCTTTCATTAATTTGAATCTCAATGAACGAAATTATGTTTTCTTTCGAGCACGTTTTTTATGGCAGTGTGATATTTTCAGATAAAGGTTTTTTATTCAACTACATCGACCTGATCGAATGTCAGCACTATTCAAAAAGTGATAAAGGCTTTTTCATGTCTTTCAAGTAATTAATGAAAAGATCAGTATTTTTACAAAAATTTAGCGTTTGTGCGTTGTTCTTTACGATTTGATGAAAAATAAATAAGATATAGCGTAGATACATCGTGCCCTATTCGAGAATGCGGTGCACTTTTGATGTGGATAAATTCACAAGTAGGGAAATACATAAACTTCGAGTACTCCGGAACTATTAAATTTTCCTCTGAAATCAATAATATTTTTCGTGCTAAGGTCATAGAAACCTGCTTTGTGTCTAGATAAATAGCTCCTATTTATGTAAAATGTGTTCCTTTGTTGTTAAATATGAAAAGACGAGACATAAACCACCGCACAAAACTGCGAAGAAATATTTCCGTCTGTTACGAAATTTTCTGTCTGTTAAGACGATCCTTTTTACTCTTTCCAATTACTCTTCTCTAGTACTCTTCTTTCAAAAAACCAATTACGCCATTCGATAAGCCAAGAAATTCTCTATATTTTTTATGTGAACCATAATCTTTTCGCACCTCTACTTTCAGAATAAAAAAGAGTTTTTTGTAAGCCCTGCAAATTCATTTCTATTTTTTCCGTCTGTTACGACTTGCACTATTTCGCTCAATACTCAATGAGTTATGCACTGAATGAGTTGAAATTTTTAACAGAGATAGAACTCATAGCATAACACCACAGAAAAAACTTTTAGTTCGGTAGTCTTTGCCGTTATCGAGAAACGTGACTCTGAGTGCGTCAAATTTTCTGTCTGTTACGCTTGGCCAGGCCGTTTTTTTCACACAAAGAAATCAATATTTTTTGAAACAAAAAGCTGTTCTCCGGGAATGTGTGCTCCTTCTAGGTGAGTTGCTCGTTCCAGTTGTGCCGCCATGCATCATATGAAAACTACCCATAAATTTATCACCACCCCGGTAAAGAAAACATTTCACTCGAAATTTTTGCCTAAGATCGTAGTCGAACAAATTTGGATGAAAACTCTTTTTCGAAACATACCGAGTTCTACATCATTCGATGCAGTGTTTTCGTAGATTCCAAGTACACATTGGTTTTAAATAAAATACTTTTGACCATTTAAAATTTAAGCCTTTTCGTTCTGCATACATACAGTAAGGGGACACCTTCTATATCCTGATCGGGATATAGCTATATCCCGATCAGGATATAGAAAAAAAGTAATATCCCGATCGGGATATAAAACACGAAATTTCGTCGTGAAAACGATTAAGGGGAAAATGACGACCTTTCGGGGTAAAATTGACTTCACCATTAGAAAGAGCTTGAAAACCTACATCGGATTCTGTTGTGTTTGATCAAAGTGCATCAAGCACCCAGCAACTATTTTTTCGAACAAAAACCTTTAACTAATTTTAGTCGAATTTATATCCCGATCGGGATATAAAACACGAAAATTCATCGTAAAAACGATTAAGGGGAAAATGACGAATTTCGTACCAGTACCGGCCGGTATACCAGTGACCAGTCGGTACCGGCTTGTCTTGATTATGTTTTCCCTGGATACAAATACTTTTTCCTTGCCACATATGTGAAGAAGTTTGTTAACACTCATCGAAAAAAACCGATTACTCTTCTTTTGATCAATTACTTATGTTATCAAAGAGATTTTGTTCAAAGAGAGAAAAGCATCACTCATTTCACTCAACCTGAATTTCATGTACACTTATTTGCCATTAAGCAATTGCAGGACAATAATAACAATTGCTCTATGAGGGTGGATAGCCTCGAAAAATACCTGAGTAGTTTGCATTTGATAGTGGACAGCCATCTCCGTAATTACCTCCTGAGCCCCACCAAGTTGGAAAATATATACCTTGATTTTTAAGTGCTAAAAATATGACTAGTCCAGAAAACGCTACACCACAATCTAGAGCCGATGACAATATGTAGTTATATCTCTCCCACCAATCAAATGCATATCTACGTGTAACAAAATTAAACAAAATGCCCACGAAAAACCATGTACAACAGTTAGCGGCTGGTGCTGGAATAAAACTGGACAACACCATCCATATGATGGGTGTGTGAATCATGTATAACCATGACTGACCAGGAAATATCTTTGCTATTAACCACGCGACAACTGGTAAGACGGCGCCTAAGGAGAAGAACCAGAGTAGATTATAGTAGGATATATCGTTCTTATTAAACATTCTTGTTGGTCCAAGAACTCCCCACAAAACAGATGCTGAGAAAAAAACTCTTATACCTGGACAGCCCCAAATGGGGTTACCCTCTGCGCAGATGTTTTTAACGCTAACCATTACATAATCAGAGACTATATATGATATAACACAACTGATAATAGTAGAAATCACTTGAGCGAAAAACATTGAACGTGGTGGAATCTGTATAACAGACCACAACGTAATACTTGCATATAGTACGTATGATGATTTTTCCACACGTGTGTATTGTTCTTTTACTTAACCTTTTTTAATAATTTTGCAAAACAGCATTATATTTCAAAAATTCAGATTTTATTTCAGTTTTGATATTGTGAAAATAAAATATTTATATTTTATCAAATGAGGTTCAAAATTCTCGAAAGGACTGCTATTTAAAATTTGAATCAGTGAAGCAAATGGAATAATTAATTATTTTTTCCTTTAGAACTGTAAAGAAAATAGTTTTTAATAATTGATAATAACATAATAAAAATATTTTTTTAGATGAAATTATTCATCGTACAACAGCTCTAAACGCATCTTCATTTAACATTCAGACATTCATTCTTTTTAGTGGAATAATGAAACGAAGTTAATGTTTCAAAATTCCAATATTTTGACTAAGTATTGAAAATGGCTAAGGAGAGTATTTCACACATATTTAGAATTAATATTCGTGAGCAATTCGAGAATGCTGATCCGTCAAAACATTTTATTTATACTAGCGGACTATTACAAGATACTCAAACTAAATTTTCGGCCGCCGAACAAATTCCATACAAAGCAGTAGCTGCTAGTGTACCGAATACTGACGATGAAACATTGCAGTGTTCTACGTTTCGCTCCTGGACTATCGGGCTCTTATTCGTCACCCTTATTAGTGTTGTTAATCAATTTCTTTTCTTTCGTTCAAATCCATTGTCTATCGGTTCTATTATTGCACAAGTTTTATCCCTCCCTGTCAGTAAACTGATGGCCAAAATTTTACCATCGAAATATATTCGCATATGGAAATGGCGGTTCTCCTTGAATCCTGGTCCATTTAACATGAAAGAACATACATTGATCACCGTCATGGCTAATACGGCAGCCGGAGGACAGTATGTAATGAATGTCATCGCAGTCTATCGACTTTTTTATTATGACAAGATGACTCATATTATTCCTACTTTGTTTTTTATTTCATCCCAAGTTATTGGGTTTGGCCTAGCAGGTATGACTCTAGTAAAAAGTAGTAATGTAGCAATGAAAAATTCTGTTAGACTCCCAAATTAACAAAAACTATTAGACTTTTGAACTTCTTTCTACTGTTACACCCTTGTTAGGATTTAGATTGTTAAACTATTAAACTAATAAAAAAACTAGAAGTGTTTTACACATTATTTTGCATTTATCGGAACAAAATTTGCGAATACATGTCATATCGATTTATTATCCGATATGACTAGTCTACATATCAGGACTTCATGTAGCTTTTGGCAATGAGAAAAAACCACAATTGATTTCCTAATCATTCAACGATGATACTTCTCTATCACCAAGCAAACGACAAAAATAATAAATACAGGTTTACATACATAATAATATACTCCTGGACTCTGTCTGTTAAACTCCTCTCTGTTAAACTACAGCCTAACAGTGAGCCTTCTCCTTTTAAATCACTACACCATACTTTCCTGCACTAAAGACAACAAAAATCAGCCACAACCAATACAACGAGTTTTAACTAACAAAAATAAAAATCCATGCTTAAGAGAAGAAAGATTCTTTCTTCCACCAACATTGAGTAAACCGTTCAACGAGCTGTCACATGGCGGTTACTGGTTCATCGATAAGTGGACGAAGCACCATCCGCATCTTCTAATAATGAAAGACTGGAAGAGGCAGCAAAAGGAATAATTATTGAAGACGAGCAACTAGGCAAGAAAAGTGAATCAGAATGGCTCGCTCAGCGATTGACAGCAGTAAAAAATAAGAACAAAGCAGAAATCTACAGCACTTGCGTTAAGCTGTATACAGCAGAGTGCTTTCTTTACAAATTACTCAATAAAACATTAAGAGAAAACGATAAGACCAAAGTAAATACACTCGGTCCATTTTCCTACTTTTAATACTATTCCTGGTATCATGGTGACAGACAATACGAATATTGCGTTTATGGAGGCGTTAATCTTGATCCACAAGACATCGAAACTTACAAGACAGCAATTGGAAAGGAGAAGTACTGGTTTGGATTTTCTTCAACAATCAAAAATAGAGTGACTATTAATTTAGCAAGTGACTATTAAACGATTGAGCTAATCTCGAACAAATTTCACTTCCATTAATTCCTTCACGAAGAAATCTTATCAATACTTCTATTTTGACATTAAACTTTTCGTTATTTTCTAATTTTAAAATAATCTTCATCATACAATCCAAACGAAACTTCAATGACTGAATATTTATCATTACTTTTAAAATTTCTACAAGATCATTGAAATTTGCATGATTATCATTATTGTAAGCTCTTTAAAAACTTCTTTTTAGGTTCAAAACAGCTTCCTCATGTTCATTTTTAGTTTTATAATTTAATTTTTTTGCATGATCATATGTATGAATATAAAATAAAAGTCTAACAAACAGAGCAAAACCAATGACATCATCCAAATCTTGATATTTCAAAGATTTAAAAAAATAATTATTAAAACAACATTTCACATTGATAATATCATCTGAAAAATCTAAATTTTTAATACGTTGACCATATATATCAGTTAATACATTATAAGTTCCAATTGAATTCTTTTCATCAATCACTGAATCTCTTAATTTACTTAGAATATCAGAATTTTTCGATGACGTGACTGTAAATATAGGAAGATTTTTTCTATTGACATTCTGACTGAAGTTTTCGAAATGCTGTTTGAAGCTGAAAATCGAGAATATTAGCATTACGATGGAGACTATATGCGTGCACAAAGAGATGGGGAAGACATTCTGTTTTGGAGTTCTGCTTTCTTTGCGATTTGTCAAAAGATTATACACAGAGCACAGAAAATTTATACGTAAGAGCATTTTTCAACTACATAAGTTTCCCTCATAACTAACATTTTTTAAAAAGTTTTCTTTTTCGGTAATATCCCGATCGGGATATAAAACACGAAATTTCGTCGTGAAAACGATTAAGGGGAAAATGACGACATTTTGGGGTAAAATTGACTTCACCATTAGAAAGAGCTTGAAAAACTACATCGGATTCTGTTGTGTTTGATCAAAAGTGCATCAAG